GAGAACTGCACTTCCCTGAAATAGGCGCAGTGGGCACGAGTCTCCGCCCACCTGACTATCGCGGAATGTGTCTCTTATCCCATGCCACCTCCAGTAACGGTCATGTTTAGTGCTATCGTATTGGTGAATTCGACGCTCTCACGGAAATTCGGACCAACTTCCCTAATCTGTTCCGTATTACAAAACTGATATTCACTTGTTTCATCATTTTTCATTGGAATGGATGCCTATACTTCTTTATTAGTGTCGTCTATGATTTCCCAAGTGAGTGGTTTGCTACTTCGAGAAGTCGAGATTTCGGGAGCTGCTCTGGGCTCATAACCTTTCATTCCGCCTTAGGAACCATGTTTAGCGTTTCCACAGCCAAAGGCGCGCTGAGAACGGTTTGTTTACGCCATGAAGGCGCCCCAAGGCCTCACCTTCTCGAGCCACAGTTGCTTGTTAAAGGCTCGCTGCACCGAAAATGGGAGGGAACCCATAACCCTCGTGCCTTCCTCCTTTGTGTGCATCTCTTTCTGAAATGACATATAAGAGGGGAATGCAGGGGAATGTCAGTATGGTGGCTATGGGTGCTTGCCCCTTACTACGCTCATTATCGCGAAATATTTCTTTACTCCTAGGGACAAAACAAATAAGTCAGTAGATTGGTGCGGAGAAGAGGACTACTTTGAGATTCTGTTTTCAGCCGCAGTACTAGAAGACTGGATATTTTCGTACGACAAAATACCGAATCCAATTTTGGTGGACTGTGGTGCCTGGCGAACGATTTTAACATCACGGAAAACGATTGTCGAACTGATCTCATACCTCCGTTGCGTGTATTCGAAGACTACAAGAATATGACCCAGGAGATTGATATGGCGATGATGTACTGGGCGAACAGGTACGGTAGATTCTATAAGTACAGCCTTGTTCGCTGCAGACGCAAGGGTGTTCCAGAAGGGGAGAAAGGCGAGTTTCGCGAAATGCGAGGCCCGTTCTGCACACCGATTGCGAAAGCTAGCAGGAGGCCGCGCTTGGTGACGAACAGATTGGTGCCGCGCTAAGGCCGGTCCTTCCCCTTCCCTGCCCTCCTCCTCCAAAACGCCCCAGCGTTTATGGCGAACAAAAACGTGCACTGTTCGGATTGAGGTTGAAAATTTTATGCTATAATGCCTGGGCTCATTCTATCTACGAGGATCAGATTTGTCAAACTTGGGTCAGAGGGTTTCGGTTAGGAAGACACAGGTTTCGATCAACCCTAGAAACTAACAGGGTGTTCCTCTAATGGATGACATGTCGGAGCACTTATGCATTGAATACTTAGAGCCTGGTGCAATGCCGCACCGTGCTAGTGCGACTTCGGACAGCCGCGCGTGGACCTCCTACCCTATGCCCAGCAGTGGAACTTCCCACTGAAAAAGGCAAACGCTCAGTCGGACGTTTTATAACCATTTTTTTCAGGACTCGAATGATACCGTTCAGTATTCTCTTCAAGCAATATACACTAAGCTTTTATTGGTCTGCTCTAACGTTGGTCACTCTTGGAGAACAGGTCTGTAAATCAGTAATTTTGGACATCTCCTTTATTACGCTATTTTCGACGGTTGAATCAGTTACCAACAATATTCTCACTGAATATCTCACAATTCTTGAACTATTTATTCAGCCGTCGCCCACGGACACATTTCAAAATTCCTTCGAAATCTGCGACACATTACTTGGTTTAGTATTGTTTGCGGTAAGCACATCTTCATATAATCCTCCTCCAGGTTGCTCCTTCCAGCTACAGTTTTCAGGTAATTGTCGGTGATGTTGGTAATATGGTGACGAACATGAACATGAAACGTTCGAACTTTGAAGAGGTTCTTGATGGATGCAAGAGCTATATGATCTATAGGTATGCACTGTTATAAAGAGGCCAAGTAGCCCTGAATCAACAACTGCTTCTGCTTCAACCTTGCACTCTTGTCACATTAGCAGCGATACTAAAGAGGGTACGGTGTAGGTACATAGATGGGAAGTGGACATCGGGAGGGCGATGGCCCAGCTTGGGTTGGTTAGTAGACCTGGAGACAGCCGAGGAGTAGAGAAGTGGTAGCTGTACACTCCCCTCTCGTGGATCCTGGTCGTGCCACGTGCAGTGGGCCCGCAGTTGCAGTATTGAGTCACTTCCTTCTTCTTTCCCAACATTCTTGTGCGGACTTTTGTTCGAGCAACGCTTTTCTCGCCAAAAGCTTTCCACAAACGATCCCTGTTCCAGTCAATCGGCTGCGGACAGACCCAAGCAGCAATCTGTCCCACTGTCAGGTTAGTTACCATCGCAGCTGGCATTCAGTTGGAACTTCACCGGAAAGGCGTTATCAAGCGGACTTCGAACAGCATCAGTGAGGTCTTTCTTCAAGATCATGACATATACCTAGCGGAGGCGAGATGGGAGAAAGAGTAGTTGGCAATCGGCTCGATCCCATCCCGATGACCAAAAGTGAGTTTCATTCCAGATTCGCTTGAGCCGCAGCAATATGCCTTCTTCTCCTGCTCCCGCACCCCCAAAAAAAAAAAGTGCGGAACTGGAGGGAGCGTGTGTATCCGAGTGCCGTTTGTTTCCATACTCCGCCCGCGCATCCTCAAATTGCAGCACCTACATGCATGCACATACAGGATATAAGGTCCCGCAGCGAACCATTCACTTAACGATAGAGAACAACTAGAAGTGAGAGAGTTTAGAAGAGACGTGTCGGCTTTAGATAAGGGTGTGGCTGGCCGTGCGGCAGCGCGGGCGGAGTACGGAGACGGCATTCGGGTATCACTACTCTCAGCTCGTTCTCGTGCACTTTTGACCTGAGAAAGTGGTAAGCTGCTGCAATTTGGACCCATTCATCCACAGACTCCAGAGCCCAACAACAAGCGCCGTAGAGTTGCTCATCAAGGGGCGTATGGCAATACCATGAAGTCTTGCTTTCTGTTATGCACTACAAAATGAAATACTGGTTCAATTTGCGCAACGAATCCTCTGTTTCAGAAAAGTGCAAAGCGTCCTTCAGCGCAAAGCAGTGGAATATTTTGCCTACACATGGTCTCATGGCGGAGGTCAAATGGACGAAGAGGTGAGAGAATAAGAATACGCTAACTCGGCTCTTTCGGCGTAACAACTTAGAGGGAATATGACTTCGGTCACTTTGGCGCAGTGCTTGATTGCACGATAATGAGCCTGAACTGCGATTTTCAATGCTGCTCATGGTTCCTCATGCAGAAGTCTGTTACAGTTAACATCACTTGTGACAGTCGGGATTGGGTTGGGCGTAGGGTTTTGGCGCGGGGCCAGAGTCCTTTTCATTGACTCCTGCGGCTCGAGAAGCTCAGAGTGGAAAGAGAGCTGACGCCGAGCCAAAACTCACGGGCCGCTGACAAGTCCCGACCGATTTCATTGATATCGACTGTATATTCTGTGTTGGAGACATCTTCCCGTGCTAATCAGATGGGCGGAGGAATGGGCAAAGTCCTATGGCCACTGTACCTTCCTTGGTAGCTGCCACTCATCTTTGCCATACTATTGGCGCACCAGCACCACTAAGACCAGTAGGAAAGGCGTGCTAGTTACGAGACTCCACCCATCCGGGTACCGAGGAATGCGGAAAATGAGAGAAATGCATCACTTGTGTAGCGTGCCGTCATGCGGTTGGGGGAGGGGGGTGTCAGCAACGTCCCTTCTTATTTTCCTTCGCTAGCCATTGCTCCACAGTGGATTTTCCTGGCCAGTATGGAAGCTACATTCCTATTTTCTGCTATGTTCAATTATTCAAAAGCATAAATTCTTCATTTAGGAGATAGCCGAATTCCTACCGACTCGTCTTTATGGTCAACTTGCCGTGCATATTCACATGGAAACGCTCAGAAGGGTGAAACTTTTCGAGGTACAATAAGATTTTTACAAATTGTTGCTCGATTTCTCGCATCCTTCTGCAGTTGAAGGGCAGACTTCTACTTTTGCTATTTACATGGTCCGAATGAGATTTGGATTTCCAATTGAATAAACAAATTTTTTATAGGAATGTGAGCCAAATCTCCTCTACGAGCATAATTCTTGAAACGCAGCGGTTTGAACTACGCGGTGTATTCTCCGATGGACTACGTGTGCAGAAAGGGTGACGTTGGCACTGAAATGTACATCGTGAAAGCTGGAAGCGTCGAGGTTGTCAATGAAGATGGCACAAAGGTGAACTCTAATGATACGCTCTTAGATGTACGAAACCGGCCCTTTCCCCATTTTTCTACTATTTTTGCTTCAGTCTAACTCTAAATCCTGATACTATTCAAAAACTTTCACTGACGCCTTGCGGACACGGTAACTTTTTATGAACGTATTTCTGAATGTTATTGCTTTTCTTTTCCAGGTTTTCGTACAGGCTCGGAGTAGGCATGCGTGGTGTTCGCGCGACTGTCTATTTTGAAATCATGTCCCCGGTAATAAGAATGGAAACCGAAGAACAGCTAACGTCCGATCTGTCGGCTACTCGGATCTCTATGTACTCAGTAAAGACGATTTGTGGGAGCGCTCTTCGTGAATATTCACGCGCGGGGGACGCAAAGCGGGTCGCTCATGGAAAAAGGTGGATCGGTTATTTAATTACCATTTACCGTAGTCGTGTGGTGAGGCGCATTGATCCGCATCTTTTCCTCCATTGGCTGCCACCCTTAAAAGAGAGTAGCTCGATTGGCTTATCAAGTGAGGGAAAGCGTAAAGCAAAGGTCCGGGGTGATTCTACCCATAACGAACTGGAGTATGTTTGCCTACACTATTAGTGCCTGCTGTGGAGGGGGAGCAAAATCGCAGTCCTGTGCTCCTTTTGTGAACCTTTGAGGCGCTTTCCATGTTTTCGGAATCAGTAAGCTTTCCTCTACTTTACAGCAAGAGTATCTTAGCCAAGGACAATTTGCTTGAAGAAGTGGCAGAGGAAGAGGAGTTTGATCAAGATGCACCTATAGAGGAACAGTTGGACACGCTCTCCCACGCCATAAAAAGGCACATCGCAACGATTACTTGGCGGGAGGCAGGAGAAGAAGTTTAGAGTAAGTAAAGAAATGTAGTTGGCAGAAAATAAATGGAAGGAATGAATGAACTGGAGATTTCCTATTCGAAAAGGAAACCACTTGTGAAACATGTGGCCAACATGTTGGGCGATAATCGGCTCATTTGTTAAGATTTGTCCCTTCCTTGGAGGCACGTGGCATTAAAGGCAGCTGCGCACATGAATCCGCTAAAAAACGAGCCAGGTTTTTCGCGACCCGAATGGCGTGGCATGCGCGGTTTATCTGGTGGCTTTTCGCGACCCCGGAAATAGGCGTGGCATGGCGGTCTTTTTTTCCGAGGGATGGTAGCCTTATAAGGGCTACTATCAAGCTACAACACACCGACCCAAGTGCCCGCCCACGCTGCCCGCCTAACAACCTTGGATCTTACCAGAATGTCTGCCGTTTTGTTGTCATTTGCTGAGTAATACATGCAGCCGTACCTGCCGGAGCGGTTATTTGCAATACGCCTACGGGAAACTCGTCCGAAATTGCTTCTCAAGAACGAAGGCTTTTCTTCGCAGTTTTTGACCGTTTCACTTCGTTTTTTCGCCATTTTACCACTAGATAGCGCCCTGCTAGCATTTTAGGCTGAGTACCAAATCATCGTGCCAACTGCCTTTAAGGCTGGAGGCAAGCGGTTGCTGCCAACGTCATTAGTGGAAGGGCTATGTGGGAGATCACAATCACTGCGTTTTCCCCATTGTGAGCCCTCTTTTCCAAGCTGGTGGAAGAGAGCGGCGCCGCGATGACTAAAAGACAATAGTACGACTAGCTCCGCCCACGTGACAAGCGTGGAATGTGTCATCGATATCAGAGCACCACCTATTTAACTCTCTGTGGACCGAAATATCGTGAAAACATGCTTCTCATCTCTCATGACGCTCTCATAGAAAATTCCTTCTCATCTTGAAAACTTTTCAGGAGTCTTCATCGCGCACCAAGCGAAAATTATTTCGACTTGAAAGGGACGTCGACAAAGAAGTTAAAGAGCTTTTCAATGAGCCAACCCCTCACGAATCCATACAGGAGAGCATCTGCACGTTAGATACGCTCAGGCGGTTGTTACCTAGCCTCTTGGTGCACTCCAGCGTCCGCAGCGAGAAAGACGAAGATGTATGTATGTACATGCGCCTTGTACTTGCGAAAATAGCAAGCGAAGAAAGGAGAAAAGATGGTATGTACCGATGGCGCTGTACTTGCCGAAATAGCGGTAATAGTAAATAGGTTTGAGTCATATGTTAATAAATGATTTATTTTTCTGTGAACATTCACGAATTCTTTCATAATTCTTCATAGTGGTCCTGGAGCGTGCTTGTTCCTCAACCAGCAGTTCGTCGCAGATTATCACGTCGTTCCCAGTCCCTCAAGGATGCCAGCACATCCATATCGATGGCGCTTGCTGTAAAATCCAGTGATTTGTATTGATTTATTAATCACTACCCTTGGTCTTAGCTCGCCTATCGGAACAAATAAATGAGAAAAAAAACAAAAATATGAAAAAGTGAATAGCCTGGATCGTTGAACAAAGTGTACCTTTCGCACAAGAGCGTTCGCTGTCATTTTTTAGCCAATGCTCGATCTCCATTTCATTTTCGTTGGCTATCCGCTTGATAGAAATACACTCCTAAAACCTGTATGTATTTTAACTATGACACAAAAGACTTTGATGGTTCTTGTGGCGCAACTTTTAGCGCACTCGCCTGCTAAGTGTTAGGTGAGGGTTCAAATTCCGCCTCAAGCTTAGGAATTCCAGGAAAGTCCACCTTCCTTCATCTCCCCTAACTTCCCACTTTGACTATTCTCCAGGAATTTTCAAGTTTCTCCCAAAGAAGAACTGTGGTCAAGGGGGTGTCGTCAATAGTCATTGTAAAGTACACCCCATATCCAGAGGTAGGGAGGACGGTGTACTTCATGTGAACGTGGTGCAGCTTCGCTTTTAGTGAGATGTTTCCGTTCTAGACAATTGCAATCAAATGTTTGTCCAGCACAAGACTGGGTAGTGTTGTCTCAAATAATATAGGAATACCGCGAAAGATTCATTCTGCACCTTGCTCGGATGAAGTACGGCCACGCCCTCCTCATACTTGGGATATGGAGCTTAACTCTGCAGCGCCGACAACCAGGGCGGCCTGGCCGGAGGTATATAGCGCACAGGAACCGTGATGGAGATGATGCGCATCAGAAACTTATTCTGGGAGCCTCCAGTCTTGAAACCTCTGGACAAAACTTCCGTCTGTGAAATAAGAACCACTGCGAGAGCTCATTCGCCGCTATAGGCGTCCCGTGCACCAGGACCCAATGAGTTGACGTGGAATTTGACCCAAGAAGCTAATGAAT